GGGCATGACACAATTACATTAAGGGCATTGTTTTACTTCGTTTCACTTATCATCCAGGATGGATGTATTTAATATTCCATAACAGTGAGAACAATTAGATGCGGTAACTGGAAGATATCAGTTTTTCAGTTCTCAAAGTTACCTCACTGCATCTTTATTCTTTAACAATCATTTTTGGCAATAAATCCGTTTTGCTCAGCCTTGAGTCTTGTGCAATGGTTGAATTTTTTCCTTCAAATGTTGTATAAATATTAGAGGTCTTAATAAAGGCTATTAAGATAATAACTGATAAAGATGAAGACAAACATATACAAAATGTGAAAGTAAAAGAAGGAATATGGAGATGAAGAGGCGACAAATTCAACTCCTCTTTTTGGAAGTAGTGGAAGGGTTGTGGGATCGAATCTATTTCCTAGTTTCTTCTTGGGCTTTGGTGGCTGAATAATTTGAGAATATCTCTCTTTTTTGTATTACATCGAGTTGGATGGCATCTTTTGGAAGATAATTTTGAATTATTGGTGGTCACTTCCAATTTTTTTTTTGTATTAAATGCAATAGGGTTGGACTACATGTCCACCTTTACTCAAATAATGTTAACTTCAATTATCAGTTAGCAATTTTGTTTCTTTTCAAAAGAAAACGAATTCAACTTAGTTTTTTGGTCTTAGTTTTTTGGTCTTATATTTTGTTCTTCGCTTCGATACAATTCCAACAAAAATTTTATATTTCAAATTTTCAATAAAAAAAAGGCAAGAGACTTGGAGTGATAGACCCAACATTGACCTCTTTTGTTCTTCCTTCTCTTATGTCTTGTGAATTTGTAACTGAAAAAAATGTTTTCTGTGAGATATTACATTTTTTACGTGGTTGAATCCTCAGCGTTGTTCATGATTGTATTTGATGGAATGCACACTGACTTTTTTTTCACATAATTATTTGCACATTTGTATTTGTTGCAGGAAAATACCCAGAGATTTGACAGAGGCTTCCTTATCAGGTGCTGGATTGTCCATTGTAGCAGCCTTGTCCATGATGTTTTTATTTGGAATGGTAGGAAGCTTGTATTGCACCTATTTGGTTGGAGATTTTTTGGATTTAATATGTTGATGTTGTAGAGGATTGTGAATGTTAGTCTCGGATTAGCTATGTTTGATTCACATCTATTTAAATGCGCTGTTTTGACGTTCTAAAGATTCCAGATTTGATTAGTTTATCAGAAAACCTGTAAATTCCTTCAACCATTCCATTGGAGGTCTACTTTCCATATTGGACATTCTTATATTGGTGCTTTTTTTACAAGTCAATGTAGTATTGTGGTTTTGTCGGTAGCTATCACTAAATCATAATTTTTATTCAGGAATTAAATAACTATTTGACAGTGAGCACCTTAACCTCGGTTGTTGTTGACAAGAGTTCTGATGGGGAATTCTTGCGCATCGATTTTAATATGAGGTATGATTCCACAAAAGTTTTTTAAGTCTTTACCAAGAATCATCAATTTTACTTTTCCCACTTTACTCTGGAAAAAGAAGTTTTCTTTCTTTGCTTAATGTGCTAATACCACAATATAGTAGGGGAAATGATCCAGCCCACTCATAATTTTGTAAAGAAAATTGATACAATCTTAGTTCTATGGTTAAAATGGTGAGAGTAGGTAGAAGCTCCACCCTATGTTCTAATTGTGTAAAGCAATTGGACACAAAATTTGGTTCTTTGACCAAAATGGAGGCAATGAGTTTGTGTTCTTGGGAATCTCTTTGACTGTTTCACCTTCATTTCTTTGTTTCTTTTCTTTTTTTTTGTTGGATGCTTTTGACTATATTGATTCATATTTCTCCTGTATGCTAGCTTTAGGAATTGTAGATAGGATTGCAATGGTTATGTTGCCAATTCCTATTTTATATATAAAATTTGTTATCTTAACATAACTACATTAGTAATTTATTTTTCAGGCAAGTGTTTCACTATGAATTCTGATTTAGTAGTTTATTTTTGGCATTTTGTTATTTTCCTAAGTAACATTTTCTTACAATTTTCTTGTAGTTTTCCCGCACTCTCTTGCGAATTTGCATCTGTTGACGTGAGTGATGTCTTGGGAACAGTAAGTTTCAATCCTCCAATTTACATTTGTTAGGCACTTTTGAAAAGTAATATATGACTATTCAAAAAGTAATTTTCTAATATGTACTTAAAGTAATTGCTCTAGCAACAAATTAATTGTGCTTCTGGTTTGACCCACAAGTATTTTAGAAATAGAAAATTCGTTTATTTTCACTGATGAGGAAGTATTAAAGTCTCTTAAAGCACAAATTCCTTCTTTTCGTCCTTTTTTTTGAATATTTAATATGGAATTGTGAAGGGTCTTATTTTTAAGGACTAATGGAAGAATGTTCCATATGACTTTTTAGTTTTTACACATTTGGGGTGAGTGCATCTATATATGAGTTGATATTACTTTTTTTAAGTGAATTGTCCCCAAGAGATTTTTGAAATTGTGCTTCTTTTTGTCAAAGTTCAAAATTTCATTTTGAAATGGTTGAAATGTCTGAAACGTTTTTGTTTTCAACGAGACCAAAACGAATCAGTGATTGAATCGAAAATCCAATGCTTTAAGATGTTACTTAATGTCTCGAAATGTTTCAAGATGCTTTGACGTGTTTTCACTAATGTTTTGAGATGTTTCAAGATGTTTTGGTATATTTTGACCAATATCTTTGAAAATAAATTGCCAAATTTTTTATTTATTTCTATTATGTTTCCAAAACTTTTATGATATTGTTTCCGTTTCTAGGTGACCAAAAGAACGCACCAAAACGAAATTCTGATCTTTGTTTTTTGCTAATTGGTGTCTAAGTACTATTCTATGTTTGAAGAATCTTTAGTGGGATCTTTTATCTTGCTCTTCTTTCCCTTGTGATTAGTAACTCATGTTTTCTCCCATTATTTCAGCCGTTCTAACTGATTATGAAGCAAAAGCCCCCGCTATAGCTAACATAGTGCTTGATCAATGGCTCCTAAGAAGATTGATTGAACTGTCATATTTCTATTATGGCCACCGTAGAATACTTTTTCATGCATATACATATCTGTGTGTGTAAATATACATAAGATTGTGTAAGTTACCCATTTGAAGTCGGACTGCTCTAGTTGAAACTTCTCTCTGAGAGATGTCTTTTGGAGTGTTTGGCAAAGGTATGAATATTTTATGGCGATGTGCTTTTCCAGCTAGATGTTGGCTGAATTATGGGGGAAGGATCAATGATCTTTGAAGCTAAAATGGTTTTGACTGTGGAAATTGGACATTTTGATTCTCTTGTTTCAAAATTATGCTGCTAGTCAAAAAAAAAAAAAAAAGAAGGAAATTTTGCTTAAGATACAATATCTTAACCTCCATCTGGGTTTTACATTGAGAGGATGTCATGGCTTTCTATTCGATGCATGGTGAAAGTTGTGGAATTTCTTCTAAACATGCAGCCAATAAGTTCACTCATGGACACCCAGATGGTTTTACTTTTGGATATACCGGCCAGTTGGATGTTGGATTTCTATTATTTGGATGTTATTTCTATCACGTGTTTCTATTTTCTGATTGTTTGTGTCACTTTTTTTTCTTAGTTTCTGTAAGTGAAGTGAATCTGGCTGAATTTGTGTCCTGTTATTTGCAGAACCGATTAAACATAACAAAAACAATCCGCAAATATTCAATAGACTCCAATTTAAAACCTACTGGCTCAGAATTTCAGTCTGGACCAGTTTCAAAAGAAATTAAGCACGATGATGAAGTTGATGAAGAATATGGTGAAGGAGCTGTTTCTCTAAATAGTCGTAATTTTGATAGAATTTCACATCAGTAAGTGGAGCAGATCTGATTTTCAAATGTTGTTATTATTTTCCTTGATGCCTCTTCAGGTTGTAATGCAGTCTCCTGATGATATATTGAACTTGTCTTTTTGCAGGCATTCAATTTTGGTTGTCAATTTCTTTGCTCCTTGGTGCTATTGGAGTAATCGCCTGGTGATTCTTGTCTCCTTTTTTTCATGCTCTCCTTGTTCACCAGTGCTACCTCTTTGAACATGGTGCAAAGGCAGACATCACGTGCATGCATTTCTTTCTGTTTGGATTGACATTGTGCAAATAGATATAAATTTTAGCTTATTCTTAAGATTTTCATGCTCCAGTGGCTCTGCTTTCATTGAGCTACCTCTTTGAACATGATGCAAAGGCAGACATCATGTGCATGTATTTCTTTCTGTTTGGATTGATATTGTGCTCAAAGACATAAAATTTAAGTCAGTGCCCATATTGAATACCAGAATATTATCTCAACCTTGTGCGAGGCAATGTAGACAGGGCAGCTCTTTCCATGCTTGTCACTTGCAATTAATGCAAGTTTCTAAATATTCTCTTAAATTGAACATCTTCAACCAAAATATCATTCAACAAATATGTCTTCTTCACTTTTAATCACTTGATTTAATCTATCAAAGGTGGCATTTTTATATTCTGGTATCATTTTAGTAGTCAATTTTGTCTATGATGTTTGTTTTGGTCAAAGATGCGTTAATTATAAGATTGATGTTATATTGAGAAATACTTAGATATCTTTTTTCTTTCTCTTTTTGAGCTATCTCATATGTTTCCCTTTGGGCTTGCTCATCTTTTTCTCTTTGGGCTTGCTTGCTCGTTTTCTATCAATTATAAGACTACAAAGTTTGGAGTAGGTTGCAATATTTGTCGTAAAGCATTTTATCTCAATGAATACCTTTTGGACTTAACTAATAGTTTGCTGCTCTACCCTTTCCAGAAACCTTCATGGGAGAAAGCAGCCACCATCATAAGAGAAAGGTCCACTTGCATCTTCTATTCTTTCATTTTCCTTGAAAATAGACTTTGTAAATAGTAAATTTCATCTCATTACTCAAAAGAAGTTATCTGTATCATCAAGATCACTTGCCATACAAAATCTCATAGGCAAACTTGGTTTCAGATACGATCCAGAAATGGATGGGCGTATTCTTCTTGCAAAGGTTGATTGCACTGAAGAAAGTGAATTGTGTAGAAGGTACTTCTAAGATTGATGTTTTAGCTTTTTGTATGGTGTGTGATAATTGGATTAACATGTCCTCATGTGAAGAAAAGTCCTACTGGTTTTGGTTTATGTTAATTTTTGTGTAATTTATGTCGATAGTCAAAGTGTTGTTTACTATTCGTTGTTGGTAATTGAAAATTTTTATTTTGAGTTTGTTCTTTGATCTTGGGTTCAGGATAAGGCTAGAAACGTTTTGTTGGATAATAAACTGAACTTTTAGGACCTCTGGCAACATAATCCCTAATCAAAAAACCGTCACATAATCTACCATCTCCTTTTGACTTTACACTTTCTTCCTTCATTCTACTAGTTCGTTGACATCTTTCTCACAATTGTTGTGGCCTCAACTCATTATATACATAATCATATGTTGTATGGCACTTATCCCTATGCCGACTGGAAAAAATTAATTACTACACTGGTGTATCCATGCCTATGATTGTGTGTAATGTTTCAGCTTCCATTGTTACTGGGAACTTGGGTTTGTGTGATTGATTTTTCTGTTTGGGTTTGCCAGATAATAATTTCCTACTTGAGGTTACACTTTTGTTTCTTTCATATCCATGAGAATGCTCAAATAATTGAAGTTTTTTAATATTATATACATTTAGGCTTCCTTGGATCTCGTATATATGATTGTTCTTTAATTTTCTTTGATCTTCTGTTTAATTAGAATCTCTAATCTTTTTATCGTTGTTTTTTATCCACTCTTTTGGTTGACCCTCAGTTTATACTGGTCTTTCAGGAATCACATACAAGGGTATCCGTCTGTCCGTATATTTCGTAAAGGAAGCGATGTTAGGTAACAATGGATATTGCTATCAATCTTTACAGTTTTGTTCAATGTATGAGCAGTTTTTTTTTTCTTTTCAGATTTGCATTCTTATACTTTCACCGTCCTTACTTGGAATCCCTGTTTTTGAAATTTGAGCATTTTCTTGATGTTTTGAGTTCCAATTTAATTAATGATGCCATGCCGATATGGCATGCCTTTGTTGTGGAATGATGCATCCTCTGTGTTTTGTCAACACTCTACCTGAGAATTCAGACCATTAAGATAGTATTGAATCAATGAGATTCATTCTTCTCTTATCTTTCTTCCTACTATCTTGTTTTCCCATTTTTTTATAGTTATTTGAAATCTTGTCCTATAATTTCCTTGTTTGAAGAAATTGAGTTTGATCATTGCCGCCTCTAGTAATAAGATAATATCTGCACTTAGGTTATCCATACAAGGAAGGATATTGGAAATGAGAGCATCAGGTTGGAAAATTCTTTAGTTGAGACTTAGAGTGCTTCCGGGGTGCATATAGTTCGAAAGAAATATATACACATGTCAAATTTGTATCGTAGTGTGTTGACATATATAGTTTATCCGTTTCTGTGCATATTTCCAGATAAGTGAAAGACATCAAGACTCGTGACTAAAAAAAAAAACAGCAAAACTCGAACAGCTAAGATAAGCTGACCTCGGTGGTTACGAATGGTTTCCTAGTCTGATCTGTCATGTGTTTAAACCATCTTCACATCATGCATTTTCAAGTTCTACAACGGGGTTCTAGCTGGCATAATAGAGTTTTTACATGCAAATATCTGGGTTTTTTGACAACCTTCCCAATCCTCCTTCATGCAGTATTCCTGTTTCACGTGCACCTGATCACTCAGGTTTGTACTTTGTACATCCTATGGTAGAAAATAATAACATAGACTGTTTATGAAGTTTGTTGCTGTTGTTTAAGTGCTTTTGTAACTTCCTTCGATGGTCCCCTTTGTTGGTCTTGGGATAGTGCTTTCGTAACTTGCAATAGCCTCCCTTACTGGGTGCATTTGAATTTGGTGCGAATCATCCCAAGTCCTTGTATGTCTTGATCTCAGATACACTTTTTATTTTTTTGATTGATAAAAGAGGACTAATAGTAAGAGAGCAAATAGAGAAACAAAATACTTATTAATGAGACATTTACCTGTTGGTACATTTTCTGTCTTGGTGTGACTCTCTCCCCCCTTCCTTCCTCTCTCTCACACATACACACAGAGCATATTGATCTCTTCTTGGGCATTTTTTTGTCTTGCATTTTGCTATTCTGGGAAAATTCTCACGACTTACTTTATGCTGAGTTCTTAATGTCACTTACACTTCTGCCTTCTTATGTGCTTCCCTGTTTTGTGACTTGTTTTCATCACAGGGATGATCATGGGCACCATGATCATGAATCATACTATGGGGATCGAGATACAGAGGGCCTCGTCACTGTAAGAACAGTTTTAAGTTTTGATCGGCAGAGTTCATTAGAGGAGGAAAAAGGGGGAAATAGAGAAATGAAGTAGGAAACGTAGCACTCACTGTACACAAAAATTTACCCCTTTTCTATTACTTTTTCAAAATTTAATATTAAGTTGTAAACTGCCTTGATTGTTTTAGTTCCATCTTCTTTCACACACACAGCAATGTTTTAAAGGAGTCCAGCATGACCTAGAGTTTCCATCTCTCGCAGGCAATGGAAAGTTTGGTTGCACCCATTTCCTTGGATTCTCAAAGACTTGCTTTGGAGAACAAATCTGGAAACTTAACAGCTGATGCAAAAAGACCTGCACCATTGACAGGAGGATGTAGAATTGAAGGTTTTGTACGTGTTAAGAAGGTAAACGTAAAATCAAAATTGGTGAAAGCATAGTTAGAGATGTCTTCCTTTGAAACATTCTGGCATATTCAAGTCACATAGATTATATGTTGAGCATGACTGATTTTTTTTTTTCTTAGCTACTTGTGTTTTATCTCAGGATATTTGGCTTTTCGTTTAGAATTAGTGATGCATACACTTGTTAGGCATATGATTTTGAGCTTCTAGTGATGTGCAGTTCCCTGGCAACCTTATCATCTCAGCTCATTCAGGAGTTCACTCCTTTGATGCCTCACAAATGAATATGTCACACATAATTTCCCATCTTTCGTTTGGTAAGAAGATCTCCCCAAGAGTAATGAGTGACATAAAGAGGTGCTACCTTATCTTGGTCGAAGCCATGAC